TTTTTTTTTTTTGGGAGTTTTTTTTTAATTATCTCGTCTTTTGTTATAGCTTTATTTAGTTTTTCTACCTTGGTTTGTGTTAGTTTTGGTAGGTAGTGTGTTCCTAGAAATTTGTCCATTTCCTCTAGGTTTTCAAATTTGTTGGAATACAATTTTTCATAGTATTCTATTATGATCCTTTTAACTTCAGTTGAGTATGTTGTGATATTGCCCATCTCATTTCTTCTTCAGGTTACTTGCTGCCTCTCCTGTTTGTCTTTCGTCAGGTTGGCCAGTGGTTTATCGATTTTGTTCATCTTCACAAAGAACCAGCTTTCGGTCTTGTTACTCTTTCATTTGTTTTTCTATTATCTATTTCATTTATATCTGCTCTAATCTTTATTATTTCCTTTCTTCTGGTGCCTGAGGGCTTCTTTTGCTGCTCTCTTTCTATTTCTTCAAGTTGTAAGATTAATGTTTTGATTATGGCCCTTTCTTCTTTTTGGATGTGTGCATTTATTGCTATAAATTGACCTCTGAGCACTGTTTTTGCTGCGTCCCAAAGGTTCTGGTAGGATGTGTTTTTATTCTCATTTGATTCTATGAATTTCTTTATTCTGTCCTTGATTTCTTTTAAAACCCAGTAGTTTTTGAGTAAGGTCTTGTTCAGTTTCCATGTATTAGATTTTTTTCCCTTGCTTTTTCTGTTATTGATTTCTACTTTTATGGCTTTATTGTCAGAAGATATGCTTTGTAATATTTTGATGTTTTGGATTCTGTTATGGCTTACTTTGTGGCCTAATATGTGCTCTATTCTGGAGAATGTTCCATGTGCATTGGAAAAGAAAGTATACTTGGTTGCTATTGGGTAGAGTGTTCTGTATATGTCCATGAGGTCAAATTGATTGACTGTGGCATTTAGATCTTCTATGTCTTTATTGAGCTTCTTTCTATATGTCTGTCCGTCACTGAAAGTGGTGTGTTGAAGTCTCTTAGTATTATTGTGGAGCTGTCTATTTGTATTTTCAATGCTGTTAGAGTTTATGTATTTTTGAGCCCTGTTGTTGGGTGCATATATATTTATTATGGTTATGTCCTCATGGTGTATTGACCCTATAATCATTATATAGTGTCCTTCCTCATCCTTTGTGGTAAATTTTGCTTTAAAGTCTATTTTGTCAGAAATTAATATTGCCACTCCTGCTCTTTTTTGATTGTTGTTTGCTTGATATATTTTTTCCATCCTTTGAGTTTTAGTTTGTGTCTTTGAGTCTAAGGTGTGTCTCTTGTAGGCAGCATATACATGGAATGGATCTTTTTATCCATTCTGCGACTCTCTGTCTCTTTATTGGTGCATTTAGTCCATCTATATTCAGTGTAATTATTGATAGGTATGAGTTTAGTGCTGTCATCTTGATGTATATTTTTTTGTGTGTGTATGTTGTTGACAGTTTTTTTGTTCCACTTAATTTTCTGTGCCAAGTTATTTTCCTTTATGTATTTTCTTTTCATCTTTTTCATTATTGTTGATTTTGTATTTGCTCAGTCTTTATATTTTTCTTCTTTTTTATTTTGAGGGGTAGATTTGTTAGTTTCCTTTGTGGTTACCTTAAAATATACCTCTATTTTTCTAAGTTTAAACCAATCTTTTATTTCTTGATATCTCCTTAACTTCCTCTCCAAATAAAAGTTGTATGACTACACTATTTAGTCCCTCTTTTTTGTTTTAATGTTGTCATCTTTTACATATTGACATCTCTGTTTCCCTGTTTTCAGTATTTTAGCTTTGATTTATTTTTGTGACTTCCCTATCTGGGTTGATATCTGGTTGTTCTGTCCTGTGTTCTAGTCTTGGGTTGTTATCTGATATTGTTGATTCTCTAGCTGGAGGACTTCCTTTAATATTTCTTGTAATTTTGGTTTGGTTTTTACAAATTCCCTTACCTTCTGTTTATTTGGAAATGCTCCAATTTTGCCATCATATTTGAGAGACAGTTTTGTTGGATATATAATTCTTGGCTGGCAATTTTTTTCCTTCAAGGCTTTATATATATCATCCCATTGCCTTCTTGCCTGCATGGTTTCTGCTGAGTAGTCCGAGCTTAGTCTTATTGACTGTCCCTTGTATGTGACTTTTCGTTTATCCCTACCTGCTCTTAAAATTCTCTCTTTATCTTTGGTTTTGGTAAGTTTGATTATAATACATCTTGGTGACTTTCTTTTGGGATCTACCCCATGTGGGATTCAATGAGCTTCTTTGATAGATATCTTCTTGTCTTTCACGATACCAAGGAGTTTTCTGCCAGCAAATCTTGAACAATTCTGTGTTTTCTGTTATCCCCCCTGTTTTGGTACTCCAATCATTTGTAGGTTATTCCTCTTGATAGTGTCTTACATAATTCTTAGAGTTTCTTCATTTTTTCAAATTCTTTTATCTGATTTTTCCTCAAATAAACTGGTGTCAAATGCTTTATCTTCAATCTCACTAATTCTGACTTCCATTGCTTCAGTTCTGCTCTATGAGTTTATACTGAGTTGTCTAATTCTGAAATTTTATTGTTAATCTTTTGAATTTCTATTTGCTATCTCCCTGTGGATTCTCGCAGCCTGTTAAATTTGTCATTCTGATCTTGCATAGCTTTCCTGAATTCCTCTATTGCTTTGTCTGTGAGTTCCCTTGCTTGTTCTGCATTTTGCCTGATCTCCTTCCTGATCTCTTGAAAAGCTCTGTATATTAATCTCTTGAATTCTACCTCTGGTAATTCTAAGACCTTCTCTTCCTCTGGGAGGTTTCCTGGTTCTTTGTTTTGGTTGCTTACTGGAGCCATCTTGATCTGCCTCTTTATGTGATTTGATATTGACCGTTGTCGCCGAGCCACCAATAAGTTATTATATTTATTTATTGTATGTTTGCTTAGTGTATCCTAGCTTTTTGTTTTGTTTTGTTTTGACATGCCCAAATAGGCTGGGCGTGTGAGCTACTTTGATTATTGGTGTCTCTGAAGCTCTCATGTCCTGTTACCAGGTGGTTAGAGCTGCTACTAGGTATGTGAACCCAGGAGTTCATTTACTTTTCTTGTGTGGATTCAGCTCAGGTGTCCAGGTTCTTGGTCACTGAGTATGTGCTGTAGGCTCTCACCTACAGTCCTAGATGGGTAGGGCTATGTAGAAGTAATTGGAACAGGCACAGGTATCTGGCTGCAGTAGGGAGCTATGTGCTGAGCAAGTTAGGGGGCTGATGGTTGCCCTTGAGTACCTAAGTGGGAGGCATGTCCATGTCCCCTAGAGCACATAGGTGGGTGGGTTTTGCAGCCGGACTTTGGGCACCCAATGCTACTGTCTGTAAGGACTGAGACGCACCACTTATTCTCAGACCCCTGTCCTAGGTGGCGAGGTGGAATGGGTGAAGCTGCCAGTCCTCAGGCCCCTGATGTGGGTGGGTGAGGACCCTGCTTAATAGGCAGGGTGGTGTCAAATGTCATGAATCTGCTACTCCCCCTTGGCTGTTGCAGCTAAAATAGGCTCCAAGTATACACTCTGTTGTTCTATGCTAATGAGGGCCTACAGTGTTGAATAGGCCCACACAGGTCTAGGCAGGGATGAAAGGCATTTGAAGTCCAGGGACCCCTTATGCCTGTGCCTAGACAAAGGGGCAGTGCCCGCCCTGAGTTCCCAGCTTAGGGGATGTGGTGATTTTTTAAAGCTGCGAGACTGGTATGGGTGTGGTTAGTCCTGAGTACCTGGCTTAAGGGAGTTGGCAAATTTTGATTTTTCATTTGTTTGTTTTTTTTCCTAAAGCCGCAAGACTGGTTTGGGTGTGATAGCTCCTATTTCTGGCTTAGGGGGGCATGGCAATTGTTGAATATTGCTGGACTGGTATCAGAGCAGAGAGGGGAGGGGGGAGGGTGAGGGGAAAAGAGGCACTTGTCCACTACGAAAGTCCCAGAAGGGAGGGGTTATTTTGATCCCGCATGGTAACACTTAACTTTCACAGAGTCAGCGCCACTTCCCCTTGGCTCCAGAGGCTTGTGCAGACTCTCTGCTACCCAGTCTGTCCTGACGTGGTAAAACATGTCCCAAGCACTACTGTTTGCCTCAGCCCCCATGCACCAGCGGATCCAGTCCACCAGGTGTTGGCTAGCTCCAGTCTGGTACTTCTTTGCTGCTTCTGAACTGTCTCTTCCTCCCCCGCCACTCAGTCTGACTCCTCAACTTTGTCTTTGATGTTCAGAGCTCCTAGACTGTCATATATAATCAATTCACTTGTTTTTTCAGGTCTTTGTTGTACGAAGGACCACAGGAAGTGTCTGACTATTCCACCATCTTGGCCCCACCTCCTGTAATCTTTATGGAAACTGACTGCCACATCTTTCTCCCACTGAGCAGCTGGTGGGTTCAAACCACTGACTTTTTGATTAGCAGCTGCACACTTAACCACTGCACCACCTGGGCTCCTCTCCATAAAGATTACAGCCTTGGAAACCCTATAGGTCAGCTCTACTCTGTCCTATAGGGTTGCTATTTGTTGGAATCGACTCAACAGTAACAGGTTTTGGGGCTTTAAGTTTCGTACACTGAAAGACTCAGAATGATATTATAGCCTTGCTCCTACTAGAAGATTCATTTTACATTTAACTGATTAGAATAGCATCAAATATCAGTTATTCCCCCTCCCCCTCAAACAGTGATCTAAAATTATTCCTCAGTGTAAAATAAAGTTTACCTCATAGTTGCTTAATTCTTCAATTAACTGTTTTTCTTTGTGAACAAATTCCTGCTCCTCTTGTTTTAATTCTATTGTAAGTTTTTCAATTTGTGCCACAAATTCATTGATTTCTTTTTCTCTAGAAGTGGTCTAATTAGAAAAAAAATGAGGAATTGTCATTTCTCTTGTGGCGTTCCATCTTACATTTTCAAACAACCAGGTAAATTAATATCTCTTTGCATGAGACTTGTCTCTGAATTTAGGTTATATAATTTCTTAGTAACCACTGAGAGGGATTTTTTTTTTCCTCCAGAGATTAAATTTTCATTAAACAATATCTATAAATATGGCAGGAGGAATGGGAGAGGTAGAGGATGAAGGAAAGGCAGAGAATAAATATAGGAGCTAAATAAATGATACTTGGCCTCATATTTTTAGAGATACCTTCTCTAAAGACTAACCTCAAATAAATTTCTGGTTGCATGATTCAAAAGTATAATCTGAAGAGAAGTGCTACTTCACTTGCTAAATTCCCATACTTAATAAATAGCTAATGGATGCATGTCTTAAGAAAGTTAAATAATTCACTCTAAATATGAAGTTAGCAGAAAAGAAGATACCTCTTAATAAGATAAAGTTTAATTAAAATTTAAGGAGAATTACTCTAATGTAATGTAGGGGACTAATTTTGAGTATCTTGAGGTTGCTTACCTCTTCATATAATTTAATTTTTCTTTGTTCTGCAACCTCAATTTTATTAATAATTTCTTGTATATCATTTTTTGTCGTGAGCACCCAACGTGCATGCTTTTTTAGCAAACAACCTATTTTCCACTGAGTTATAATACTAGAGAAGAGAACAAAAGAATTACCATTAAACTGATACAGCAGATAACTGAAAAGATGAAGCAATTCAAAGTAAAACAAGTCCTACTATTATACAAAATTGTTTGTGTGCTTAGTGATGCAGACTATCCATATTAACTAAAAAACCAAGTAAGACAAAACATTAACTGCCTCAGTGCTCTCTGCAAGTTGCTTCAGAGTAAGAAGTTGTGAGTCTATAGGTCTAACAAAACAGTGAACAAACACAACTTGGCAGCTCCCCTCCTTTAAGCAAAGGGCAGAAATAGGAAAGCCTTAGGGGCACATGGAAAAAGAAGAGGCCCCGGCAGAAATAGTAATTGAGTTACTAAATTATTCAAAGTGCTAATAAAAGATTCTAGGCTTCTGGGTTCTCAAATTTTTCTCTCCACCATAACATAAAAATAAAGCTACAAAACTGGAGAATGGTAAAAATATATCATTGTAGTCTTGTAAATAATAACAACAACAATAAAAAAAATGCAGCTAACTTTTAGTAAATGCTTTCTAGTTGCTGGCACTGATGTAAATACTTTATCTAGATCATATCTCTGCTGCCACTCACAACAACCTTCTAAGGTGGGAACTACTATCATTCCTCTCTTCACAGGGATGAGTGCAAAGAGAGGCTATGAAATAACTCACCCTCAGTCACAGAACCTGTACTCTCAATCCCTCTCCTCTGTCACTACACTGCACGTATCACCTTCCCACTGGTTCACAAAGAAGCCTGGATGAGCAAGAGGCATGTCCTAATATTGGCAATTTTACTTTTTGGTGACTACACTCGATTGAAACTGAAAACTTTGGTTCTGTTCATTGCCAAAACATCAAACTAATAAGTACATTTAAATCTGAGAGAATTCACACAATTTAATTTAAGGAAATCATTTCTTTAGATGCTAGTAACTGATTCTATTTTTTCCCCCAACTTTAAGGCACTGTTTGTTAAGATAACATATACTACTTATAACACAAATTTTTTTTTTTTTTTTTTTTTTTTACCATCTCTGACTTTCTCTTTCCAGATTATCACCCAGGATTTTTATTTGTTTCCGGTATACTTCTTGTGTTGCTCTAAAAACAAGAAAAATATATTGGGATTTTGCATTTGTGGGAGCTGTTAGAACATATAAAAGACTCTTTGGGCATAATTCTTATTCTCTGTAAGTCTACAGTCTAATTGGAAGACAAAACAAACCTTGTGAAACAACTACATATTTTAATGGCAGACTAACAGAAAGATGACTCCAGTTCTGTGTACATGAAAACTGATTCTGCAAGTATCGAGGTGGATACTGAAGGATAAAGAACAGATTGGGGAAGGGTTACTGTAGATGAATGTTTAATAGAAGGGAGGATGGTGGATTGGCAGAATGGAGACGCAATCTTACCAAGGAAAGGACATAATCATTTGTAAAGACACAGAGGAAAGGAACAAGTTAGGCTGTATTGTGACACAAGGTAGGCTTGCTACATACAAGACAGTATGAAGGGGAAAAATAACACCATGATACTGATGGTTTAACAGTCAGAAAATTGTTGAGGAACTCTGAATTCTAGACTGAGTTCTGATTTGATACAATATATCATTCAAAAAGCCAATACAGATTCTTGAACTAGGGGAGAGTAACAATTAAGGATGGAAGATTTTCTTGAAGTAGAATGGCTGGAAATGTGAAATTTCTAACAGAAGTATTAGAGGCCTTTATTTTTATTCCCTTTTTTTTTTGGTCTATTAAGTGCTTCAATCACAGAAATAAACTGAAGGCCACATAAGTAAAATGCTGCTTAATTTATATTTTTTGAAGGACAGAAATAGTCACAGAATGACAATGTATGTATAAATTTTTGTGTGGGAGACTAACTTGAAATGTAAACTTCATTTAAACTACAACAATAAACAAATAAATAAATAGATTGTGCATACCCATACAAAATAAATAGTCATAGATAAAACTTACCATATGAACCACTGTTAAATAGACTAGAAATAAACCTGTGCTCATATTTTCTTTCTCTATTTGAAATCATTGTACAAGTTCTCAATTTCCTACCATAATAAATCTAATATCCTCTCCTAGGTCTGTAAGAGTCTTCACAATTTGCCCCCACCTTACAGATTTGGCTTATTTACATATTTAATATAACCCAGAGAGGAGATGAACCAATTTAAAATAAAGAAAGCAACAATAATTTTAAAAATCTAAATAAATACCAATATTCGGCCACAAATTTGGCTATGAACTTCCTGGTGACCACAGCAATGATGACACTATAATTTATTATAAAATTTGCATTACTCTTCTGGAAAATAAACCTCTATTCAACCTGATTTTCTTTTCCTCATCTGTCATAGAGAGGAGTTAGTAGTTTCATTTCTGAAGCTGAGATAGCAAGAGACAGATGTTTAAATATGTTATTTAACTATATAAGCACAACCACCCAAAGAACCTATACTCTAGATTTTTGTTGTTATGTGCTCAAATTTTTGTCACTGTCTATCTTAGTTCCATAAGGCTGGTCTCTTCACTGTCCTATATGCAAATCATGTATTTCCCTGTGTGTGGTGACATTATTTCCCTATTTGATGAGCAAACAGAAAAAAAATCTAACCTATTTTTAAAGGCCAAGCTCAAAGTTTAATCCTTATATAATGAAGAAGGACCCCTAGACTTCACTTTCTCTCTCTCTTCTCTGAATGTTCTTTATAGTCCACACTTTATTCTGCACAATTATGCATGGTCCATTACTTATTTCATGTGTGTTAGTCTTACTCATCTGCCCAGCTAAACTATAACTTGCCTTATGCCCCATTAATGGGCATATAAAATGGTAGGACATTTATGTAAGGAATTTTGACAATAATTATAAAAATGAAAAATATATGTTCCCTGTAACTCAACTATCATGACTTTATTATAAAGAAATAGTCACACAGGTGGACAGAGATATGTTAAAAGATATTAACTTCAATAATTATAATATAGGAAAACTGGAAAAAACTAAATGTCCATCAATAGCGCATTGGATAAATAAAACATAATATAACCTGTAAAAGAAATATTGTGCAGCTGGAGAAAAGAATGAAGAGGTCCCAAATACATGATTTTTAAAATTTTTGCAATAGTTTCAAACTCAACAGAAAAGTTATAAAAATCATACAAAGAATTCCCATATAACCATCACCAACTTCTCCAAATGTTACTATTTTACCATATGTTCTGTATGTTTTATAAAGCTCTCAAATCCCATAAGGTATAAATCACTATTATGCTTTCAAAATACATATGTATAATCACTTGTCATGGATTGAAGTATGTCCCCCCAAAAATGTGTGTATCAGCTTGGCTGGGCCATGATTCCTGGTATTGTGTGATTTTCCTATGTGTTGTAAATCCTGCCTCTATGATGTTAATGAGGGAGGATGGGCGGCAGTTGTGTTAGTGAGGCAGGACTCGTCTACAAGATTGGATTGTGTCCTGAGGCAATCTCTTGAGATATAAAAGATGTAGTAAGCAGAGAGACAGGGAGACCTCATACCACCAAGAAAGCAGTGCCAGGAGCAGAGCATGTCCTTCAGACTCAGGGTCCCTGCATGGAGAAGCTCCTAGTCTGGCGGAACACTGATGAGAAGGTCGACAGAGAGAGAAAGACTTCTCCTGGAGGTGACGCCCTGAATTTGGACTTTTAGCCTAGTTTACTGTGAAGAAATAAACTTCTCTTTATTAAAGCCATCCACTTGTGGTATTTCTGTTGTAGCAGCACTAGATGACTACAACATCACTCATAATATAAACTTAGAAATATGTCTACCTTGCTGAGGTTCTCAAACATTAACTATAAATCATTAGAAACCTGTAAGTCATTAGAAAGTTATTTAGAAAACTTCTGAGCTTAGACATAGCAGCATGTGAAGAATGACAACCTTTAAGCTAAGTTGACTTTGACCTGGCATGCTATGATAAAAGAAGACATAACATAGTTAATCTTTGTAAACTAGCCTTGAGACATAAGTTTAAATAACTTCCCTAATCACTAACCTTGAAGAAAAAAATATGACATTCAGCTAATCTCTAACCCTGGAGAAAAGACTTAACATACTAGTCTTTGACATCACACTGGCCATTATTGTGTGAGGCCGTGGTGAGAATTTCACATATAAACCCTGAATTTCTGCTCATTCACTGAGAGAAGGCAGAAGCAAAGGGATATTTCTCTATTCTCTTACTGTCTTTGAAGACTGAGAGCTTGGTGAGACTCTGTCCATTGCCACCGACCCCAGACTCAAGCTACCAGGGACCTCCATCAATTCAAGTTGTGGTCAAGCCCTCCTCCCAAGACCTCTCATTAAAGGTAAAAGCCTTAAGTCTAAAAATTTGGACTCTAACCACTGAACGAACATTGTAATTGTAATTGTTAACTCTGATTCTCTGGTTCTAAATGAATGTTGTGAGGTCTTACTTGCTTGCCTTGCCATGACTACCCTGCAATAAACAAAATGAGTTTATGCATGATAAACCTGAGTATCTCTCTCTTAATTGTCTAAGATAAAATCCTACACAACATTATATTTGCTTTATCATTCTCCCAGATATAATTTTAAGTGGAAAATATCCAGTTATAGAAGAGTACAATCCAATTTAGGGGGACATAGATACACATTTGGAAACCCTGGTGACATAGTGGTTAAGTGCTACGGCTGCTAACCAAAAGGTCAGCATGTTCGAATCCACCAGGCGCTCCTTGGAAACTCTATGAGACAGTTCTACTCCGTCCAATAGGGTCGCTATGAGTCAGAATTGACTTGATGGCAACGGGTTTGTTTTTGTTTTATATACACATTTACTCTCTGAGTTACATATTCCTATATTTGACTTTTTAAAATCTGATACAGGCATCATTTTTATTATCAGAAAAAAGTTAAAAATTACAGTGATTTAGGGTGGCAGAAATGAACACATAGGCAGTCAGTGTTGTAATAATATTCAGGCACATGCTTGTCACTAGACCCCCCCACCTTGTCTATTCCTTGCATCCAGCAGCCCACCTGGAACCCAGAACCTGTCTCTCCCTTCAGTGAAAGAACCAATGGTAATGACTTTTCTGCATTGTAAACAAGAGAGCTAATTACAAACTTCTTTTTCTGTGGTATATAGAAATTGACATAGACTTATTGTTAGCCTTTATTTAAAAATATATGCAGAGGAAGAATAAAGATTAAACATTCCAAAGGCAACAAACATACCGATGAAGTTCTTGTAGGGTGATGAGTCCTTCTTCCATATTTTTGATGTCTACTTTTCTTTGTGCTAGGAAGTTTTCTTTCTGAGTAATAAATTCCAGTTGTTTCTGATGTCTGCCATAAAAAAAAAAAAAAAAAAAAAAAAAAACAGGGTTATCATATGTTGAATGTTGAAATAATCATTTTTAACTCCTCAGTGTGAGAAAAAAATATGCACTCACAAATAAGAATTTAAGAAGTAGTTTGGAAAGTTCAGTTCAGTCACCTGGCCAAATAAATGAGTAAATAAAAGAAACAAAATATTTTTTTCTGGTAGAGATTAAATCTAAAGTTATGCATAAAATTTATAAAAACTTCCAAGCCATGGAAAGGACGTTAATTGCAACAGTAACCACAAAACAATAACCACAGAACAACAGTTCTAGTATGCATTCAATCCCTCTGAGCGGGGAGGTCTCTCCCAACACATTTATCTGTCTGTTACATCCTTTTGTGAAAGATGAAGGAGTCAGATCAAGTTTGCACACTGGCTCTCCCTCTTACTAGTAGTGTGACTTTGGACAAGAAACTTCACCTGTGGATGTGCCTATAAAATGGTGATCACCGTACCTATCTCACCTGGTTGTAAGGGTTAAATCAGTATAGTAATAAATTATTGCTCATATAATTGTACCCTTATGTTAAAAGAGAGAAACTGAGAACTTCTGGTAAAGGCAGCTGTTTGACCTCAGGCTTAACACGTCCCAGAAACTTGTGATAAGGTCTTAACCCTTTCCAGAAACTCTGATAAAGGTTTAACCCTCGCCAGAAACTAAAAACTCATGATAAAGAGAGTTCTGGGGAAAGTTATCCTAAGAATTTTTAAGTTGCAATGTTAGAAAGTACCTAACTGCAAATAATTAGATAAGCCATAATTAGCCTATAGAATATAGACACACAAACTTAATAAACCAAACTAAAGCCGCACTTTTAGATAGCCCCCTTCGGCCAATTAAGTGAATGACAACCAAACATTAAAAATTTGCTTTTTGGGAACACCCCTAACAGTTTGTACTGTATATAAACTGATCAGAATTGTAACCTGACAAGCTCATTTCTTCAGAGTTGTCTCCCTGTTTGAGAACGGTTATCTGATCAATAAATTCTTTTTTAACTCTAATTGACTCATTGATCAGAGATTTTTCTTTTGGCTCTTGCAAGATTTTATTCTGTAATATTCAATGAGCAAACACTGATGAATGTCCATTAGCTGCTAAGCTATGTGTTAGGTCTTGGGGTTATATTGATGATAAAACAGAATGACTGCCCTTATCTGTTTGTAATCCAGTGGGACAAAGCGAGTTATACCCAGTGGATTACAATAAAGAGGAATGGCATCAGAGGGATGTTTTAGAAGGATTATTCTGGTGGGAGGCAGGAGGATGAGTTAGGGGTGATAAAGCAAAAGGCAGAAGAACATTTGAGAAGCCTATCAAACCGGAGTGGCTGAAAGGGCTGAAAAGAATAGAGCAGGAGAGATATCTGGGAAGTGGAATTGATAAGCTTGTGACTGAATGGAGCCCAACGGGTGGCAAAAGGGGATTTCCTCAAATATTTTCCCAGTCTCTGGGTTAGGAGATTGTATCGGTGATGGAACCATTCTCCAAGATAGGGAATATAGGTGTGAAGCCAGTTTCTGATGAAAGATGAAAAGATCAGCTTTAGAACATCATACATTTACAGAGCACCTTGGTGCCAGGCACTCAGTCACAGTTCTCAGATTGGAGGAAAGTACAATTTTGTGGGTGTACAATTACAGTACCATGCTTTATATGCCAAAATTAAAAAAAAAAAAAAAAAAAAAAAAGGTATATAGAGTGCCAAGTGAGCATCTCATTCAGCACAGGGAGTTTTAGAGAAGACTTCTCAGAGATATCTGTAGAACATCCGTATTAGTTTTCCATTGCTACATAACAAATTATGAGTGGCTGTAAACAATACTCATTGATTACTTCAGTTTCCAGGAGTTAGAAGTCTAGGTACAGCATGGCTCAACTGGGTTCTCTGCCTAAGAGCTCACAAGGCCAAAATCAAGGTGTAAGCCAGGCTACGACTGTCATCTGGGGCTCAGTGTCCCCTTCCCAGCTTGCTCGTTGTTGGCGCAATTCATTTTCTTCTCACATTTTCCATGCTACTCCTTCCACCACCAAGCTAGGATAAGGGGTCAAGTCCTTCTCAAGCTTCGAATCTTTCTGACTTCCCCTTCTGTTCTCCTCTTCTGCTCCCAGCTGGAGAAAACTCCCTGCTTTTAAATTCTCATGTGATTAGATCAGCCTATCTGGATCATCTCCCTGTCTTAAAGTCAACTGTGCCATATAACAACATGATGTATTATTACATTCACAGGTTCTAGGGATTAGGGTATGACATCTTTCTTGGGGTGGAGGGGTGGGACATTATTCTGCCTACCACACCTTCCCAATAAAGAAGTAGTGGACCATCCAAAATACTTGTCTAGAGTCTGAACGGAAAGTGTTTTGCCGAATCTATCAATGTGTGATGTCAACAGCAGAGAGGCAGAAGTGGAAACCATTTCCCTTGTTGTCCCTCATCATTCTTCCCTCACTATCTCCCACCTGCCCTCTAACCCACACTAAACCAAACCCATTGTTGTCTAGTCGATTTAGATACATGGCGACTCCATGTATTACAGAGTAGAACCGTGCTCCATAGGGTTTTCTTGGCCGTAATCTTCACGGAAGCAGATCACTAGGCCTTACTTCCGCAGTGCCACTGGGTGGGTTCAAACTACCAACAGTTGAGCACAAACTATTTGTGCTACCCAGGGACCCTTCCATCTAAACTAAGAAGGTCCCAAACTGCAGCCAGAACATTGGGATTGCGGGAGGAAGCAGTGTGAGACAAAGAAGACAACCATGGTCCTCTTTTCGACTGCAGGTTTCCCAGCCTTAGAGATGCCTGAGCTAATGGAGTGGAGAGGTTTTAAGTGTGATGAGAATTTGGAGTTTTGGTATTATATCAATTACGTATCGCTGGACTTTTTTAGTTCCTGGGAAAATAGTCCTTTCCCCATGAGACTATCTAGAGAAATTATGAGATCTACCTATGGTGGAGAGGGTTAAAAGGGCAGTAGTAGAAAAGAAATAATTGCTACTTCTTGTACCCTATTAAGTCCAGCTTATTGATTAAATGCTTGCCGGATCGGAGGCTCTGAAGGAAGGCTATGCTGGATCTTGGTGCAGGTAAACAAGCGGGGCCTTGGCATCTTGCTAGTGGAGGGCAGTGAGGATTTGAGATTTCAGGGAAGTGATATGGCCAGAGGCAAAGAGACCAGTCTGAAAAGATAGGTTTCCATTGGTGGGAGTGGTAACCAGTGATGTGCAATAATTACTGCTAATCAAATCCCTTGGTGGTGCAAATAGTTAACCCACCCAGCTGCTAACCAAAAGGTTAGAAGTTCAAGTCCAACCAGAGATGCCCCAGAAGAAAGGCCTGACAGTCTACTTCCAAAAAATCCATTGGAAACCCTATGGAGCATAGTTCCGCTCTGCAACACATGAGGTCCCCATGAGTCAGACTCAACTTGATGGCAACCTTTTCTTTTATTTAAAGTTAGAGGAGTTTTAAATCCATGATGATAGTAGAAAAAATGAGGAAGTTAACAAGAATTGTGCTATAAGACCATATAAAAGATTGCTAAGATGCAATCTAAGAAAGTAACATTCCTTACCAAAATCAGGAAACGATGGTCAAGACAAATGATTAAAGTCTTACACTAAAGGTTTAAATTCAAAATTGAGGGAATTCCCACCTAAGAGTTTCTTTATGGTCGAAGAAGTAGCAAAATATCAGCTGAGTGTAGTGGAAAGAGAATATTATAAAATGCTTGAGGACAGTGGGATCACAGAGACTCCAAAGAATGATGTCAATAATATGTAATTCTTAAAGATAATTATGATAAAATTTGAAAGTTAAATATAAATAGTCTAAGAACATTATAATACAATTTCTATAGACAACAAGTTCCAAGACAGCAGAGAATGGTTGTGTTTTATAAACCTAGTATTCTTCTTCTACTTCCCTACCCATACAACCAGACACTTTCATGAGTGGCTCAATAGTTGTTGAATAAAGTGAAAGAGTATTATCTCAATTATCTAGTGCTGCTACAACAGAAATACTACAAGTGGGTGGCTTTAACAAACAGAAATTTATTTTCTCATAGTTTAGGAGGCTAGAAGTCCAAATTCTAGGGGAAGGCTTTCTCTCTCTCGGCTGTGGAGGAAGGTCTTTGTCCCTTCAGCTTCTGCTTCCTAGTTCCTTGGAGATCTTCATGTGCCTTGGCATCTATCTGATCCCATCTCTGCTCACTCACTTGCCTGTTTAATCTCTTTTATATCTTATGACTCAAGACACACCCTATACTAATCTTGTCTTATTAACGTAACAAAGACAATCCATACCCAAATGGGATTTACAACATATACTTTGGGGGGACACAATTCAATTCATAACAAATATTTGAATGTAATCATGTTGAATCTGTTTTTGTAAGGACTTCAAGTAATTAACCACATAGTAGTAGCCACCATATTAAGTACTAAAATACATTTGGTGAATTATATTTTTCATTACCTTTCAAATCTGGTTTTCCTTATTCTGGTCAAATTTTCTTTACTCCACATAAATTGACTTGGAACTATTACCAATTCATGAAGATTAAATCACAAAGAGTAAAAGCAGTAGTTATTCTTTCAACAGACTGATTTAGAAGCAAAAGTAATGCATTTGGTTAATATAGATTTGAACTGATTCAGATGAGGAAAGCATTACTTCATGCCTATAGAGGCAGATTAGGGAAATGTTTATTTATTGTTGGGGAAAAAATATTTCATTGTTATCAGCAGATATTCAAAGTAGGATAAGCTTAAGTGGTCACCACTTTGAATAGTAAGGAAAGCACTCCCTAACTATAGCATGTTGATTTACATATATGGATCATGGGTAGAAACATACTCATCATGGATCTTTCTTTTCCTAAAAAACATCTCATCCTCTTCACTTAGGACAATCTTATATTGTCTGGTAAGAGTAGTTAGTTTGTCTCGCAGCTCTTTATTCTCTAAACGAGATTTGTGCAGTTTTTCAGCCACCTAGAGAAAAACAGAAGTATTGAGTAAGAGGACTTACTCCACAGTTCCTTTGAGGAAAGTCAGAGTCAGGTGGGCAACTCTCTGTAGCACTGGGTAGATTGCTCAGTACGCAGTAAATATGCCTTAAATGTTGAATTATTCTATATCAAATATACAATTGTACATTTGGGGGCCACTTCTATAAGTTGTTATGACAAAAGTATAGAAAGGCAGTAAACACTGATATAAAACTATTGAGTAATAATCCAAATTGCAATAAGAAATGGGATTAATAAATTGTAATATTCAACAAGATCTGTGTGAGCTTTTCCCAGAAGATGAAATACACTAGGGGAAAAACGTAATATCAACAGAAGCTCTTGCCTCATTAACTAGGTACAATACCTGCTTCACGTTAAATATTTCTATTTGAGGACAAAAAATGGTACCCATCAGTGTTCTGAATGTGGTAAGAATTTTGTGCTTGGAGGTTTCCATTGAATTGACTCAAATTAGTTAAGAAAGTTAGGTATATAGTAGGAATGGTGGGCTGGGTAGTCCTACATAGCCTTCTGGCTGAGGGCCACTAGAATAGCTGGATTAAAAAAAAAAAAAAAACTTTTTAAAAGTATTGAAAAACTAACAAGATAATGTGGAATTATTAGGCCTAATTCTAGGAGAAACCCTCAAAATATCTTTTGCCCTGAGGACATTTATCGATATGGCAGGGAATTGCTAACAATAAAGCGTGACAAAACAGATATGAAAAGGTACCAAATAAGATTATCAATTGAAATCTACAATAATCAAAATAAACTGGACTTCATCAAAGTTAGTAAATTACATTCATCAAAAGACACAATTAATAGAGCAAAAAGTCCAAGCACAGAGTGGGATAAATATGTACATAAATACTATATATTTAGAGTGTATATACTGTTCTGTGTTTGAGTAATATTTCACAATAGACAGTCTTTTAAAAGTTAGAATGGAATTTAATGTCATCATTGAAATTGCCCAGTGACTCATGAGAATATGACTGAATGTCACCAAGAGCCCATAGTATCCGCCGTAGTGGAAATAATAAGTCAGAACCCTGCCCCTTTGAAATGGTCACTAAGTTGTACCCATGGACCTTGGCTAAAGGTTGCAGATTGAAGACAGCCCTTTACATTTGCCTCTTTGATCAAGTCAGCCATGCCAGCTTAGGGATCCTGAACTTTTCAGATAGTCATTATGGCTGAAAACTATAAAACTATCAAGTGAAGGCTGCCTAACATTTCCTACAACAGGGAATAAATGGTAAGTAAAAAACTCTTTGACTAGACAATGGAAGACAATTTAAAACCAACCAACAACCTTATTTGGCTTCTGTCTTTTGGTATCCTGTACCTTCCAACTACTTGCAATTAAAAGAATCAGAGTAGACTTAGGCCAGAAGGGAAGTCATTCCTAATGCTGGCAAATTCGAAAACCAAAAATAGAAAGATATTTAATTTGTACAAATCATTCTCTGGGAGACAACTACCTTGGATGGCCCTGCCAAGCCTCTGGGTATGGCTGTAGTCCTCAGAGGAAAGGAGAAGCTTTGCTTTCTAAGACCAAGAATTTGGATGTGGAGTTGTAATATATCCTTGAGCAAGAAGACGGATGAGGAACTGAGAAAGGAAATGAGGTTAGCAAGGAGGCTTTGGGCTTTGCAATGGGATTCTTCCACATAATCACCCAAATTTCCAGAAAAGTTTGCAGTATATCATGAAATGCTTAGTGTTATTAAATTTCTCTTAGAAACTAATGAAAGGTATGAGTTTTACACCTGATTGACTTGGGGACAGAACAGAGGTATAGGAAGAAGGCAGAGCGTACCTGGCACTAGAAGTCAGGAATATTGAAATTAAGTATCTGTATCTGAGGGAAGATGGATTGACACAGTGGCTGCAACAACGGGCTCAAGCATAGCAATGATTGTGAGGATGGCACAAGACCAGGCAATGTTTCATTCTGTTATGCATAGGGTCACTATGAGTCAGAACCGACTTGATGGCACCTAACAATAACAACATCTGAGGGAAGAAGGGGATACCAAGGACGTTTCACCTTCCACTCAAGGACTGAGAAGAATCTCAACTGTATCTAACGTGCCAGTGTATTTGTATGTGTGTGTATTCCTATTATACATACTGTTTTATAATTTAGAATTTGTCACTCAATAATGTATTATGAACAATACTATTACTTATTTAACCAAGGTCCTTTTTGGGGGGCTTTAATGGTATCCTCCCCCCACCCAAATTGTTCACTATCATAATGAATGCTTAACTGAATATCTTATGGCTAAATTTTGGTTTACATCCATGGTTATTTATTTATGATAAGACACTTCTTTTAACCTAAGTTTAAAAAATGTCTAAGGAATTCTCCTGGGGGCTAAATCTGACTCAAATACTTTACTAACATTATTGAGTATAGAGAAGGTTGCTATACTTCACAGGTGCCACACAGTAGCAAGAAGGTCCTAATTTATCTAAATAATTCA